TATAACTATCACTTTTAAATAACTCCTTAATTAAATATGATTGAAATCAAAGGTTAACTATAACTAATGAAAGTAAACTTTCACAGATAAAAAATGAATATTTTAATAAATATGATTTCATAGATTGCGTTACTATCATATTTTATCAAATAAATAAATATGCCAAATCAATTTTAATTTTTATTTTGTAGCAAAATTTTATGACCAAAAATAATTTCACGCAAAAATTGTAAGCTACTTTTATTGTGTACTACTACTTTTTTCTTTACATTTACTTATACTAATTAAAAATAAATTACAACTTTTTTAATAATTTATTTTATATAATATATTTTGGTTACTTTTTGATCAATTCTTTTACGTCGTGAATTTTCAGCGCAGCAACCAAAAAATACATCGATAATATCATCAATATAACAGGATTCCAAATTAATTACTTCGTTTCCCTGAATTAAGCATAAATATATAGAGTAATTAAGAACCTTAAGTAATAAATTTAAACTTTTAATTTTCAAATATGCAAATTACTTTATGATAATTATTTTTTTTATTCAAGAAAAATAATACAAAATAAAAAACCTTGCAATATTTCCAAAGCAGTAGTAAAGCATTAGGTGTTAACGATAAATGCACAAAACGTCCTTCGATCTGATCAATAATCTAAAGATAATCAATAAAATTTGGCTAAAATCATGATTAATTGTTCTATTAATATTAAGTATATAAATATAATATTAACTATACAAATATAATTTTAGTGATAAACTAAAAATAAAATATACAAAAGGTACACTGTCTAATTTGTATACGCGTTCACCGTTCACAAAATAATCATTAAGTGATTCTCGAGAAAGTCTTTGGTTTGGAATTAAACGACGAATCGGCATATTTTCTTAATTCTGTTATGCTTTTTCAATATCATGAAAGATATTCCTGCATTATGCAAAAATCTGAAAAATAAATAATAAATTAAATTCAAATTAATTAATTTATGTAATGCATTAATAAATTTTAATTAATATGCTGTTATATTATTGTTTGAATTTTGAATATTACATTACTTTTTTAAATTTGCTTTTTTTTTCATAGCAAAAGCAAATAATTTCAATGCACGAGCTTTATTATTATTATTTATTTATTTGAATTTATGCATAATTTGAATATTTTATTTGCTTAAATTAAATTAAAACTAAAAGCTTTGAACAAATAAAATCCCTCTGAAATTATATTGGACAATAAATCTGCAAATTTTCTCCAGCATACAGTTTCAATTACAGAAATGACAGTATAATATAAAAACAAAAAAGCATTTTTGATAAGAAACTGTAAAAAAAAGTTTTTCAAAAATAATAAATAAATATTTTTAGCGTAAAAAAATTGCTAATGTATTATAAAATTAGCATTAAAAATCAAAAAATGCTACAAAAAGTGAATATTCGAATTCGATGCTTTAATTTGTAGTAATCACTTAATTAGTAATATTCAATGATATTGAATGGAAATCACTGCTTTCTTGCTAATCTAAAAAATGTTGAATTTTTTTCATATTTTTGAATTTTCATAAATTTTAAAATATATTTTGAAATCTACAAAAGTAGTATAATTATTTTTACATAATTGTAAGTAATAAGTAATTTTTTCTTGTAAGGGACAAAAGTCAGATTTGAGCTAGTAAATTTGTGTTATTAATTATCAATTAAAGAATGAATTTGATAATTTCAATACAATTGAAAATAATCTCTTACTTTAAAATTTAAAGCAAAGTTTTACTTACTTTACTAAGTAATTAGATGATGATTTCATTTATTTATGAATAACTTTAATAATAAGATCGATAGCAATACTTGTTAATGAGGTAATCACTTACTGATAAAAATTACTCATCACTTACCTTAACAATAATAATTTAGTATTCAAAAAAGTGCTGACGCTCAGTAAGAATATTATATTTTTGAAGATTATAAACTTATTCATGATAAAATTTGTTAAGAAAATAAAGAATTTAAAAAATTGGATGATTTTCACGACTAAGTAGAAAATCAGCAAGTACAAAATGGAATCTAAAATTGAATGCGTTTCAAGCAAAATAAAATTAAATGACTTTCTAAATTAAGCAAATTCAGGAAATTCAAAATTATCATCCAAATTGACTGAACAACTATTAACTTTTTCGTTTGACTTCAGCAACTTTTTACTAACAAAAAATGTAATTGTTAATAAAGTAAGTTAAAAAATTTGTTAGATTAATTATTTACAAAATATCACTTTTTAAAGAATTAAATATTTTTTATTTTTCGAAAAATATTTATGCTTATTGTAAATATATCATTATTTCAAATTTTTAAATCAATCAAATATAAAAATTTTTATTCAAAAATATATGATTTTCAAACATACAAGCAATACATTTTACCAATTAATTAATTGTAGCTTTTGACTTAATTACGGCCAAAAAAGCGTAGAAATTATGATTTCACGTTTGATAATTATTAATGAAGTTATTATTCAGAGAATAAATATACTGTTATCAATTTGACTGATAAAAAGTA